AACAAAGCCACTTACTACTTACAGTCTTTTCTGTGTTTCCTTCAGTACTTAAGACAATCTTATCCTGGTTTTATACTATTTTTTTTTTTTGAGATGCCTTTTCTTTGTGCCACCCAAACAGCAGATTTTCTGAATGAAATTCTACATAATCAACTCTAACCTCTACCTCAAACTTTGATGAGAAACATTATTCTGTTGACCTCAGTACACTGCTGGACATATTGAAGTACAATTTTTTCTCTCTTGACTCCAACATGAAAGAGATGGTGGACATGTACAATTTTATTCCATGTGAGTAAAGTTCACACAATATGTTAAATTTCCATGGTTGTTCATGTCACCCCTGCCTCAAACGTTTTAGGTCACAGACATCAGATTGTCTGGAAAACGATTTTATTACTCCCCAAGGACAACTTAATTAAATGGTGTCCAATCTGTTCGGCTATCAGAGGAACTAGTGGCAATGAATACTTACAGATCCATGTACAAAAATTTTTTTTTGCATGCCTCACTTCAGAAGTGACTAGGGATCATCTGACACCAGATGTATTCTCCAATCATTTGTCATTTCATTGTCAGCACAATCACATGGCTAGTACTAAGCATTAAAGAACTGAAGATTAGATTAGTGAGGAAAGTCTACCAAATGCAAGAATGTAATCAGACATTATACTTTTTCCCTTAAATTACTGAAAGTCTTAGGATTCCTTCGTGGAAAATTGAGCATAAAGACAAATGAAAAGATAATTTGACATGTGAGGCTAAATTCATAAATATAATCTTAGTAGATGTGGCCGATAAACCATAAGCATGATAATATTTTTAGTTTTCTAGTGTATTTCTTGAATGCAATCATGCATGAACAACTCACATAGGGATCCTCAGAGTCTTTCTATAAATAGAAAGGAAAATAGAGGTAACAGCCTTCCAAGGATTTTTTTTTTCCTCTTCAAAGTCCACTTAGACATCTGCAGCTTTTTCTAAAGCTTCATCCAAAGCTGGTTTAATTTATAATTGTTAATAAATATTGCATATGCACCTTTTAGCACCTTACCTTCTTACTTTTAAAGGGAAACACAGAGTACAGGATTGGTTTGTTTCTACTGTTACTTTTAGAATGCTATTTTCTCCATCTGACCAGTGGCCCTCAGCCTGATTCAATAACTTTTTACATTTTTGGTTTTTATTTAATCTCTACAGAAACACTGAGATAAGATAGGCCCAAGAGCCTAAACGGTACTCATCCAAAAATGTTCCCAATCTCAGGATCTCAATTGCACAGCTGGGTTCTGTTGGTCACATGTCAGCTTCAGAGCACATCTGTTCATTCCTCAAGGATCCTCTAGGCCCCATGAACACAATGTGCTCTGTGTAGAGTAGTTTATACCACAAAACCCAGCAGCTGCATGGGTGAGAAAAATCTCTACTTCTCAAGTTTGTGTCTCCAGGCAGTTTGAATAGGGTGTTTTCTATCTGGCTTTCTTCTGGTTGCCTGTCACTTCTGACATTCAGATGCCTGTTGGCAACAAAGTTGCTTTCGCTATTCTCAGGGACAGATGTTTCTAGTCTGGGAAAAGACAGACCAAACTTTTACTGGAAAGTAAGAATTCTTGCCATATTTAGGCACCCAACCTGAGAAAACATAAGGAAGATCCTGGCCACAGGCTCAAGAATGGAAAGGTAGTCACTGCCAGGAAAATAATGTCCAGATTGGAACACTCAGTTTCAGCATTTAGGAAAAATATTTGCATCAAATCTCCCCATCTCTGCTGGTTCATAATGGCCAAAGGACAACATATCCCTGGTAGGGCATGGGTGGTTCAGACGCCCCCAACTCACCTTGGAAAGTGACATCTTTGAAACCAAGATTTCTGAGAATTCTTGGTTGTGTGTGTGTGTGTGTGTGTGTGTGTGTGTGAGAGAGATTTTCATGTACTTTTGAAACTATGTACATTGGAAAGGTTTGTGTGTCGATGAGGTTGAGTTGGAATACCGTGAGAGTAGTACAAAAAGACTGAAGATATATCAAAAGTGAAGACATTAAATATGAATGGGTTTATGTCATAGATGTCATTAATTTGATTCATAGAAAATTATTGTTGTGGATTAAGAACGATTTTATGAAGTCTGCTTTCATAGTCCTCAAAGGCCTCATTGCTAGTTTTCAGAGGAAGGAGTAGTCTTAGGTCAACATGTTTTAAATGAGATGTGAGGGACAAACACAGCTTATAATACTGTAACTAGGTTTCCCTCCCTCCCCCCCCCCACAGGAATGTGTCTATATTTATATAGTATAAGCGTTAAATCTGTACCAATGGTTGAAAATACAGACCACAGAAGCTTCTTTAATAACACATATACACCAAGTCAAAATGTTCTACTCTGTCATTCATGTGTAAATCAAGTATATTATTCATATACTTCATTGACTTCCTGAATGCGTGCTAAAAATGCTAAGGAAAAACTCGTTAATCCTGACATGGTGACTGCTCAGCTAACTCTAAAATGTTGATGGAAAAGAAAAATTGTCAAAGGGCCTTTTTAAGAGCCTCTGTAGGTTACACTCGCAAATCGGAATTCAGAGAACATGAATTTCCTCGTTCAGGAAGGAAGGATTAAAATCAAACACCCTCCAGTGGTTGCATCTAAAAACTGCATAGTTGTCCCAAATGGTTTACTTGTAAAAGGAGTCTTCCTGTGCACCATTTAGAACCTAAGATCCAAGCCCCTACTCAGTCTGATTTTAAAACATTAAAAGAATTTTCTGTGGACTATAAAATCTCTGCCCATCCTGATGACATTTTTTCAAACAAAATCAATAAACATCTATGAAGCACCTAATGAGTTCAAGTCTTCTGCTAGATGACTATAAGGATACAAAAATAAATGAGATATAGTCCTTGTCCTCATGGAGTTTATAATCTTGCTGGCTAGAAAAGACATAAATAGATGAAAAGCTAATAAAATTATTTTAAAATGCAAAATGTCACAGGAGAACAAATCTACTGTCGAATAAGTGATTATACACCATAAATTCTAGGGCTGGAGAGATTATTATGAACCTTTCACAGAGGCAGTGATATGGAGAAGGATAAGTAGGATTTGCAAAGTCATAGAGGACTAACATTAACAAATGCATTACAAGGACATACAATGTATATCAAAGGCACAGTTTGGCTAGAGTGGAAAGTATGAGTAGAGGAAGTGGTAGGAGATAAATTTAGGAGATAAATCTGGGTTGGCAAAAGATTGTAGAAGTGTTTAGTTAAGGGTTATAAATTTTATCCTGTAGTAAATAGTGAATGATTCATTTGTTGAACGCGGAAGTGACATGATCAAGGAGATGTACATGATATTAGTGGGGGTGAATGGATGGGAGGAAAGATAAGGAAGGTAAAGGGATAATTAACATTGAAGGAGTTAGATAATTAGGGCCTACACTAAGATGGAAAAGTGAGAATGAAAAAAAATGCAAGGGACACTGGATTCGGGAGAAAGACACAGAAGAATAAAAAATAACTCTGAGGTATCAGGATGTTCCTTGGAGAAACAACAAAAGTAGAAGAGTATTTCAAGTCATAAAAATGGGGTATCAGGCTGTTCCTTGGAGAAACAATAAGTATAGAGTAGTATGGGGAAAACTGCAGAAAGAAAAGAATGAAGGACCATGATAAGAAGCTTGGGGAATTCTTTCTTACATTTGTGGAGTAGGAAAAAATAAACCAGTAAATATTGCCTTCTTTATTCCTTTCTATGCATGTCTAAATGTGCATACTAATGTGCACACATCAACATATAAAGACATAAATGAACCTTAAGAAAAGAGATGAACAATCAAAACCCATTTGTTTCCATTTGTCTTCTGCCAGCTTAGTGACCAAGGTAACCTGCTGGTAATCTGAATAAATGTTATTGAGGAGCAGCATGATCTAGCAGAGTGAGAACCAAAGTCAAATAAATCTAGGTTCCACTGCCACCTCTACCATTTGCCAACTGTTTATCTTGGACGATTTGGGGGTTTTGCTTCCTCAGCATAAGGACATAGGTACCTACTCTCTCGCAACACAGGGTTACTGTAAAAATGAAATGAAGTAATGTATGTGAAATGATTTTATACACTGTCAAGTACTGGAATGTAAGCTTTTTATTTTGTTATTATCACATGTTGAAATTAACATGTTATGATTTGTAGTTACCAGTTCAATCTTCCCTTCTCAAGGATATCAGTACTTATATGCAAATAAGTTCTAGCACTTATATTTTCCTCAATGGCATTTTAAGCTCTTCAAAAACAGGGACAATGTCTTAGATTTCTCTGTGTTTTCCTTACGCTTTACTGTGTATGTGTATGCACTCTGGACGTTAAAGGGAGAAAAGTACATATTTTGACTTGAAACTGAATTTATTCTGAAAGCCTCAATATAGTTTTCAATGTGTAGTACAACTTAAAATGGCATTCAAGCCTAGCATACAAGTGTCTTGAAAATAATTTAAATACACAGTGAGAGTGCTGTACCCAATGGCCTAATATACCTTTTTAAGTGGATTTTTCCATAAATTTGGAAATAAGTGACAAGGCATAATGAATAACAAGGTTGAAAGGCATAGATTCAAAGCCATTAGTGACAATAATTGTAGGTATAAGTAGAAACACAGTGACAGAAGACTAGCTTTGGAACTGAAACATATTGAAAAGGCTTTAACTAACTTTTACAGATTTTTTTTTAAAGATCATAATGCTTTTCAGGATACTAAGGCAATATAATAAAAATGACCATTATGGCACAATTTAGAAATCATACTCAAAATATTAGTGAGAATGCATTTAAAAATATTCAGATGCTAGAAATTCAGAACACAGGCATATGGGAAAGATTTGGATTTAAGAAACTCTACTATGAGAAACAACTGTCTAAATACTTGGCTCTGATGTTTGAAGCCTTCACATAACATCCTAAAAGAAACAGAACGTTTTAAATACAAAATTTGAAAGTACTTACTTCCACTTGGAATCAGGTCTCTTTCTGGGATGAAGAGTTTATATCCATAGTGTTTTTCCAGGACATCTGGCAGTACTTCAAGAGCAAACTGCTCTTCTTCAGGATTGTCACAGTCTAAAGTATCTTGGTCCACTTTTGTGTAAGAGAGATAGGCATCATATTCCTTGTTGTCTTAAACATAAAGAACAACAAAAGGGTTGTAACTATTAGCAGGTTCTCTTTGAGTACTAAGAGGCAGGGATAGCACAATAATTAGTGACTGTCTTTAATAATTGGAAAAAAATAAGTCACATGCCATGTTATAGGAAATCTAATCCCTTTCAAAATAACCTAGTCATATGATATGAATTGAAACCTATGCAATGGGCCACCTATAGTCTGAACAGAATAAAAGAGAGAATTATTATTTGTGACTTTCAGCGACTATACGCATTTGTAATACTCAATGATGTGTGAATGATTAGCTCAGTATGTTTGAATGCAGGACTAAGTAGACCAAAGTCATGGATTTAACCCCTTTATTTTCCAGTTGGCTTGGCTCTGTTACTTGGGCACAGACTATACCTTGTTTGCACAAATATGTGCAAAAGATCCAACAGGGGCTGGGCCCTAGAGTGTGGAAAATTGAAATAATCCAGCCTCGCTCCTGGAGACACTGTTCACAGCACATGCCATAGTTCCAGTTGGTTAGTGTCGTCATCTTCATATACAAAAAGCAGTTCATTACCAAATATTAGAGACAGCAGCTGGGTTTTATACAAGTGCCTTGCCTGTTATTCTTGTTCAGTTCATGGCCAACTAATATGACACAAGCTTCCAAAAGAAGCCTTTGTTTCAAAATATACATCCTTCCAGTATTGCCAAATTAGATTTTTCCTCCACACATTTAGTCAGGGAGTTAACTGTGCTTTGCAAGTGTATTTTTTCCTCTTTTGCTGTATTGGCTCAGAGCCAGTCTCTCCAGAGAGACAATGTGTATGTATGCATACAGTTTTTTTCCTGCAAAATGTTAATGAGCATAGCTACTTGAGGTATTAGTTTCTGAAGGTTTTAGATGGGCCACATCTACACTGAAAAAGTTATAGTGAGATTTTCAAAATTTCCTTATTAAAAAAAGTTTTTAAGTTAAAATAGTGAACACAGATTCATGTGGAACTATTAGTAAACCCAGTTACTTACAAATAATAACTGCAAAAGACTGGTAAGAATTTCGGGATTTGTTTCTCAAACACATCAATATTTTCTATTAAAACATGCCTAATTAGAACATACCTAAAACCTGACCAAAATGTAATTTATAAAATGAAGCAGCCACTCATTTATTTCCACCATAACCCACACCATGACTTGATTCTACATGCTGAGGGAGGAATAAACTATAGACATATGATGAGCTGTAGATACCCTCTTTTAGGAGTAGATGAGACCTCCCTATCTCTGAAGTAGGATTATGTTGTTCTAATTTTAGTAAGATTTTAGCCTTCACCACTCCCAAACGAAAGAAATTCTGGTTATTTATATTAAGATGGTGCCTGAAAGAAAGAGAAAGAGTTAATACTCTTTAGCATCTTTTCTGGCTGCAAAAGGCTTCCATAAACCTTGGTTGGATTAATTGATTGCCTGGAAGCAGATGTACATGAAGCACTGCCCTGGGTAGTTGAAGAGATCATTTCGCTTACAAGTTGGGCGCATTCCACTGTCGTGCATAAAATTCTGCTTGGAAGTGAGAATGTTCATAAGCAATGCTAATGTAAGAACCTCCTGGTAATCCTAGCACCTCTGCCCTTGTTCCAATCACGTGCAGGATACACCTGCAGGCCCCTGACTTTCTCCAGCTATAATTACTCACCTGGGACTCAGAGCTGCCGATGACACACAGCTGGAAGAATAAAACAGGCCAAAGGACAAATAGCTCCATTCATATGAGCAGAATATATTTCATTGTTCTTGATAGATAGTGTTGCTGCCTCAAACTCCATAATGTCAGACCAGACCCTGTTACTCTCTCTGACTTTGATAACTTTCCTATTTCACAAACCTCCCTAAATTCAACCACTTATTAATTCATTCAACAATTATTTGTTGAGCATCTGCAATGGCTACTTGACTTCTTTACTCATCTGACCAGACCTTCTAGACTCCTCTCCTATTGCTTGTACTGACTATGGTTATTTGTCTTCCAAACATGCTAAACTCACGTATTCTTGGTTCTGTCCTTACTGGTTCCACCTATATTCTGATATTGCAGTTCAATGCTACAAACACTTACCCCTAGAAAGTACTTCTATACTTACATTTCCTAAGTTGTGGCAAAGAGCATGGATGTCTTTGGTACGTGTTAACACCCAACACATCGAGATTATAAATTTTACCTCGCATTCTAGAAGCACACCATTCATTGAAAAAATGAATGCTCCTGGTTTCATTCATGTCCCTTTAAGATGAACTAAAGGTGAAGAGCTTATGGTGGCTGGCCAGAGCAGGAAGAAAGCTCTCAAAGCCACCATGTCAGATGTCCCAGACGCTTTAGGATACCAGCTAGTGAGCCAGCAGTGACACAGATGCTACAGTTTAAATAATGCACTCAACCTTATGTAGACAGCCAAGAAAACCTCATGAATAGCTGCAGCTGTTGCTCACAAAGAGGAGCAAGATAGATAAACCAAAATCAACAACATGATGCAAATAAGGTTAGCAGCAAGGCCTGAAAATTGTTTCTAAACCAAAAGGCTGTTCAGCAGCACCACTTTTCTAGGCAAGGCTAATGAGCCTTCCTCTGTGCTAAATCATGCTGACTAAGCTTATCTGAGGAACCAGAAAATAGAGCATAATGCAAACAGAACAGTGTAAGGAAGAGGGCTGGCACAGTGGTTACCATAGGTATGCTGTTCCTAATAAAGAGAGAAGTTATAAGGAAGAGAACCAAATGTTTTGTAGAAGAATTTTCCTATTGTCACATCTGTCCTTTTCTGTTTTAAAATCTAATTTGAATCCTGCTCTCTATCAAGAAGCCATCCATGTTTATAACTCAGTTGTTCTGCAGCTGTGCTAAGCAGAGTGCTGAACTCCTAGTTTCTGCAGAGCAAAGACTGTGTAATCTTGTTGATTATTATATACCTATTACCTACTATAGTATATGTGTGTGTGTGTGTGACTGTAGTGTTGATCCAGATGAAGAATATAAGTAAATGTATCATGCATAGTCCCTGACACTTAGTAGACACTTAAATATTTAATGACTGAAAAATTGAAAGGTTAAATAAATGAAGCAATCATTGGTGGGTTGAATTAAAATGAATTAAATTTTAAACATGGCTAAGAAATTAAAGTTTGTTGGATGGATTTTATTTTATACAAAATCAGGCATTTTTATAAGAACTTTTAGGAAATACCATTATAGATATTGTCAGAGAGCATGAAGAAAAAGCATATGGTTAAAATTAAGTTGTGTCTATGATATGTCAAAATATTTAAATGGTGAAATGAAAAATGTGATAGATTATCTGGCTGACATTTGGCATTCTGTAACTGTAGATTTCTAAAAGGCAGTTAAAATTCATTTATTCATTTTCACCATATACATATTGACTTTTTAGTATTCCACTGAAGCTAATATAGAGGTTATATACTTAAGGTCCAAGGTTCTATGCAGAAATATAAAATATTTTAACCATCACTCCTAACGAAAACACTTGAAGTACCCTCTCCCCATATTGCATTTCCCCCGCAACACTGAATTTGGAATCAATACATACAATTAGGTAATCAAAATGTTCTATATTACTGGACACCTTTGAACACATGAACCACATTGCAGATAAAGATGCAAAGTGGAATATTTAATTCCTGAAAAATTCTGTCATATCAGCATAAAATTAATCTTACAAATATGTACTACAACTGAGCAGTTAGTCTAGGTTATTGGGTATCAGTGATGAAGGTAATTAATTATTGTAGATTAATATAATAAATTGTATAATCTCAGAGATTAACAAATTGCATATTATCAGGACTCAAAACATATTAATCACAGAAGCCTCCCTTTCATATTTTTATTTATTTTATTCATTTTTTTTAGAGACAGGGTCTTACTCTGTCATCCAGGCCAGAGTGCAATGATGAGATCATAGCTCACTGCAACCTTGAGCTCCTGGGTTCAAGTGATTCTCTTGACTCGGCCCTCATGGTTATCCGGTACCACAGGCATGCACCACCATGCACCACCATGAGGCAGGAGGATTGCTTGAGTACAGGAGTTTGAGACTGCAGTGAGCCAGGATTGCACCACTGCACTCCAGCCTGGGTGACAGTGACTGTGTCTAAAAAAAAAAAAAAAAAAAAAAAAAAAAAAAAAAAAAAAAAAAAGGTAAAAGAAAAATAAAAGAAGAATTTCTGTAATTTACTATGAAAATATGAAAGTCAATTAAAACTCATCCCAAGGCTTACAGCAGTTTTGGGATGAGAACTTTATGTATAAGAAGCTACGTGCCATGATTTCTTATTGATTTTGATTGGAAACATGGCAGTTTGTACTCTTGAAAAAAATTAAATCATTTTAAATGTTCAAAGAAACAAGGCTCGGTATACTGCTTTATTGATATTTCTCTCATAAGATTTTCAAAATTCATAAACTTTTAAAAAATAAATATTTAAAAAATAGTTTATTTTTTAAACTATTTTTTGTAGAGATGAGGTCTCCCTATGTTGTGTAAGCTGGTCTTGAACTCCTGGGCTCAAGCAATCCTCCTGCTTAGGTCTTCCAAAGTGCTGGGATTTTGTGAGCTACTGTGCCTGGCCCCTTTTATGTTCTTTTACACAGATAATGCATCTTTTACCTTCACAATTGGCTACTTTAGCCACTTGCTGGCACCTGGGAACCAGGGACATTAACCTCAATAACACATTCTCTCTAGTTTTTTTCTGTATACAGATAAGAAGTCAAGATTTTTCAATATTAACTGTTGTTTATAGGAAGAACTGTGGGTAATTGGTCATATTTCCATATATATTGTCAGCGTATATAATAATTGTTGGAATAGGCCTTAATTTTTCACTTTTAAGATATATCTAAATAAGTCTGTAGTACTTTTAAATGGGCTGCTGTAATTGCTGAGTAGATTTGAAATGTGCAAATGTGTAGATGTGTAGATTTGAAAATGAGCAAATGAGCATGCATATGTACTCATCAAAAAGCATTTCACGCCAGGTGCAGTGGCTAACGCCTGTAATCCCAACACTTTTGGAGGCTAAGTCCAGAGGATTGCTTGAATGCAAGAATTTGAGACCAGCCTAGGTAACAAGGCGAGACCCTGTCTCTACAAGAAATAATAATAATAATATTAGCAATAATAATAAATTAGCCAGGCAAGGTGGCATGCACTTGTAATCTCAGCTACTCAGGAGGCTGAGGCAGGAGGATTGCTTGAGTACAGGAGTTTGAGACTGCAGTGAGCCAGGATTGCACCACTGCACTCCAGCCTGGGTGACAGTGACTCTGTCTCAAAAAAAAAAAAAAAAAAAAAGATAAAAGAAAAATAAAAGAAAGAAGAATTTCTGTAATTTACTATGAAAATATGAAAGTCAATTAAAACCCACCCATATCATCATTCACATAATAGTAACAACAAGACCAAAATCAGATTCCTCAAAAATTTTGACATTACATCTATCACTATAAAATTAAAATCAAAATTGTGAATTTCTCTTTTTTGAGGTAAGACCACCAACTCAAAAAAATAAACAAAAGCTCTAACCTTACTTATTTTGGTACAATGAAAACTCAGTTTTAAATCTGTCTTTTTAAAATAATGTTTTCCAAATTGGATTTCTTTCTAAAAAGTGTTTGGCTTACCTGTGGCATTCTATACACATTTCCAAGGCTTACAGCAGTTTTGGGATGAGAACTTTATGTATAAGAAGCTACATGCCATGATTTCTTATTGATTTTGATTGGAAACATGGCAGTTTGTACTCTTGAAAAAAATTAAATCATTTTAAATGTTCAAAGAAACAAGGCTCGGTATACTGCTTTATTGATATTTCTCTCATAAGATTTTCAAAATTCATAAACAGTAAATACAAGAAAATTATGAGCTATACTCTGAATTTTTATTCTTTCAGGTCACCTTTGAGAATGGTGCTATAAGCATTCAAAATATGTAGGTACATGTACTTTGAGGTTTAAAAAGATTGTCTCCATAGTTTTCAATCTGTTTCTTGCATGATTACTTGTTTTGTAGATGGCAGCAATGGCTAAATTGATCTGTACTTAAATTTGCATTTTCTGAAAAAAATTGGAATTGATTCTTAATTTGCTTCTTACTAAGTGGGAGGGATTTGACAGCAATTGTTTTATCTCCTGAGCAACTAATGTCTTATTGTTAAACTTTTTATTGGAAATAAAGTCAAACGTATAGGAATATTATAAAAATAAAACTATTTTAAAAAACATACATAGCATTTACTCAGATTTACCTATTGTTAATATATTCTCCTCTTTTCTCTTTTTCTTGATAAGGTTTCTAAACTATTTAAAGGTAAGTAACTTGCCATAGCCCTTTACCCCTAAATATTTCAGCTTGTACTTCCTAAAAATAGGGAAGTTCTCTTACATAATCACAAATGCATGCCATTTAATGGAATTCGAACAATAGGAGACAGCTTACCATCATTAGTTTCATCAGCTCCAAAGTGCTGCCTGTAGAAGAGCATTAATTCAATGTTGTAGCATTTATAAATGACCACCAGCAGGACAAGGAGGAGGAAGATTGCTCCCAGGCCCCCTGCAAGCTCAATTTTGTAGATTAAATCTGGAGCGAACAGAATAAACAGGAAAAGGTAATTAAATCAGCAACACTTGGGATCTTCCCATATTTCTAGCATATAAGATGTACTACCATTCTGTTTTCCTGTCCAGAAAATTCTTGCTTAATGCAGTAGCTTTGCTCTTGATACATTTGTATGAATAAAATTTTTCTAAAATAAACTCTTTAAAATTTGATTAATTTACTATTAAAAGTGGTAAGTCTATCTGAAAAGGAATAGTTGCTCCCAGTTGGTTTTGAACGCATCTAAGATGTCATATATATGCTTTTGCTCTAAATGTATTTCAGGGAACTATTAAAGCTACTTTATTCTGGGTCCAAGGCCAATATTTTCTTATTTCTGTTAAATTATCATATTGGTTTAGCAAGATTACCATCTAGTACTTCTCAGGCCACAGGCCCTATTCTTTTGCAGGAGAACAACATCATAAAATTACTTTCAGAATCAAATAAAATCTAATGAGTATGCAGGATTTAACTGTTTCATTTAACCCCAGTAGAACATAATCCAATATAAGGTAAGCAGGTAAAATTAGCTTATCCATTTCCCCTACTTATTTGAATAAATGACTGTAATATATATGTGATATAATATGCCCAATGGAACTAAAACAGAATGAGAAATCCAGGCTAATCACTTGGCCTCTTCAGCCAACACCAGCCTACCTGATAGCAGACTTAGGCTGCTCCAGTGGGGCATCCCTAGAACTCTTGAGCATTGGAACAATGAAATCAAAATATAATGGAAGAAGACATAATGTCTCCCAGGCTCAGGGAACAGTGACTTAACCTGTAGTAAATCAGTGATATTAATAAATCTAAAGAGTGTATCATCAAAAGAGGGTATGGTATCATGAAATTTAGAGAAAGGGGAAGTCGGAGGAGAATTTAGAATGTGAATTCAGCAATGTCCAGGGGAAAAATACTGAATCTGAGAGACATCAGACTAGAGACATATTTTCCACAGGGACATTATTGGTCTCATGATAATTAAATAAAATTGCCTACAAGATAACCTAACCTTCCTTTAATGTAATTACATAATTACCAAGTGACTATTTTATTACTAATTCAGCTTGCCATGTAACTGGAAACTAGAAAAGAGAGAGACAATCTAGTTTATACATCAATTCCTTGTGAGTTTAGTTGGCATCAGTCAGTCTTCCTGGATGGATCAATTATGGGGCACTGTCAAAATCAAATTGCTGACCATTGACAGGCTGTCATTCTTGAAAGCCAGACTGTCAACCTTTCTCTAGGAATGTCCTTTATCTCTATATAGGATTATTGCTTAAGAGAAATTAGCCAGGCTCAATATAACAATTAAGATCCATTTAGTAGTTTATATTTTATAAAAAAGAAATATATATATATTATATATAAATATATGAATATAAAAATAAAATATAAAATATAAAAATATATATTTAGAAATACATTATACACACACACACACACACACAAAACAGCCAATCAGGATAGTCATAGAATGGAAATGTAAGAAACACAAATAAATGTCACTCTTTTTGAGTATGGAGAGAGGGGGAAGGATAGAAAAAGGAAGAGAGTGGGGCTGCTGTGAAGGACAAAATATGCCAACAAGGAATATTGCGAGGGCACACCCAATGAATAGGGGTAGGAAGTTGGAATCTGTGTCTGTCGTGCCTGATGCAAGAGGTGGTCTTTTAAAAAAAATAAGCCACAAAATTCCGGGTTAAAAAAAAAAATTCACGACATAATTAGCAATGCTTCCTGCCCTCTATATAAAACGTGGCTGTCCAGGAACCTCTACCTTCCTCTGCCTCTGCCCATGTTGGGGACAAAACAGGCTTTCTTAAGAGATCTCTGTGGGCTGCAAATCACAGTTTTTACTTGTTTTCTCACCGTCTTATATACACCATCAATCATACATTATTAAAAGCCAATTTTAAATAGAGAAACCAATACGATTTTCTTTGTTACTCTGAAAACTGACTTCTCTTTCATCTTGGGGCATTAATTGACTTGATTCAAAAGGTTTTTCCTGTTTTAAGATGTTCACTTTATGCTATAAATTTTTTGGTCTTTCTGTCTGTCTCTCTCTGCGGTCAGAAGAGCTTTCAAATGTTTTAAAAGTCGTGGAATGGGAAATTTTTCAGCAATTTCTATGTTATTTACAGAGCAGAGTTGCTATTAGGTAGATGGAAAACTTCAGCAGCAGGAACAATTTGTGCTCTCAAGTAGCAGACATTTTTTTCAGCAGTAAATTTATGGAAGAAAACCATGGTGAAAAAGTCGTGATTTTGGGGTCCGTTTTATAAAAAATATCTTTGAAAGATATTATGTAATGATGGCTGTTTAAGTTGAAAAATGTGGACCTAGGCCCAGAGACCCAACCAGCATTCTTTGATTCAGCCCAGGCAGTCACATCAAAAGGGAAACATCTATCCTATAATCAGAGGGCACAGTTGCCATCACCCAAATGCCACCTGGATTTTCTTTTGTCTTCTATTTTCAATTGCAATTTTCAATCTCAGCAGGATCTATACTTCAAGGGACATTTACTCACTGAGAAACTGAAAGTCATTTTAGTTGGGCTGTGTCTTGTATATGCTTCACAAAGAGAGCTGTAGCAAGAACAGCAAATATTTATGGGCCTGTAACTTTTTCTAGGTACCCAAAGTACATGGGTAGTTCTTTTTACCTTCTTAGTTTGAACCCACCTATTTCTTCACTGTGAACACAAAGATCAGATATTATAGAACGGGACAAATAGCAACTGAAGCCAAGGGACTGGAGAGAGAGAATGCAGGGAATGTTTAAGCTTGCTGCTCTGATTCACAAGATGGGAAGCAGTTTAGGAGATCCCACCTGAGGGCTTCTGTCATGGTCTGAATGTTTGTTCAAAATGCATGTGTTGCAACCTAACCCCCAAGGTGATTATACAAGAGGGAGGCCTGGCCAGGCACAGTGGCTCAAGCCTGTAATCCCAGCACTTGGGGAGACCAGGGCAGGAGGGTCGCTTGAAGCCAGGAGTTTGTGACCAACCAGGTCAACAAAGTGAAGCCCTGTCTCTACAAAAAGTTTAAACAATTAGTCGGTCATGGTGGTGTGTCTGTAGCCCCAGCTACTCTGGAGACTGTGGTGGGAGAATTATTTGGGCTCAGGAGTTTGAGGCAGCAGTGCACTATGACTGAGCCATTGCATTCCAGCCTGGACAACAGAGTGAGACCCTGCCCTGTTTCTAAAAAAATAAAAAATAAAAAACGAGGGAAGCATGTGAGAAGTGATTAGGTCATGAGGGTAGAACTTTCATAAACGGGGCCTGGTATAAGAGATGCCTGAGGAAACCTTTTTGCTGCTACTGCCATGTGAAGACACAAAGAAAGTGTCTATGCAAAATGGGTCCTTACCAGATACCAAATCTGTTGGTACCTCGATCTTGGTCTTCCTAGCCTCCAGAACTGTGAACAATCCATTTCCGTTGTTTATATACTATCTAGTCTAAGGTATCTTGTTATAGCAGCCCAAATGGACTAGGACAGAAATTGGTACTGAGAAGTGGGGTGCTGCTGTAACAAATACCTAAAGTTGTGGAACCAACTTTTGAACTGGGTAATGGATAGAGAGTAGAAGAGATTTGAGGTATATTGCCATGAAAAGAGCCTTACGGGCAATTCTGGTGAGAGCTTGGAAGAAGAAGAGAGCTACAGAGAATTCCTCAGTCATCTTAGAGATTGCCTAAATGGTCGTGGTCAGAATGTTAGTAGAAATATGAATGGCAAAGGCCATTCTGATACCTCAGACAGAAATGAGTAATAGGCCCCTACCAGACATGAATCTGCTGGTGCCTTGATCTTGGACATCCCAGCCTCTAGGATTGTGAGCACTAAATTTATAATGTTTAAAAATTACCCAGTCTAAGGTGTGATCCAGAGCAGGCTCAGAAAGTTTTCTATTCAGATATGGTGGGACAGAGTGAAGCAGCAGCACTGAGAATGAAGAGAGACAGATTCAATGATATGCCTCTGTTTTATGAGAAAGGAGGTATGTACAGAGAAGCAGAAATAATTATCAGAATTTCTGGAACCTAAGTTCAGACTCTTGGCTCACCAAATAAAAAATTTAGGATGAACTTCTTACTGAAATGCTAGTTGCACATACTGCAAATTGTTCATCTGAGAATAAGGAAGTGGTAGGTGCAGACAGAAGATAAATAGGTAAGAAGAGGGATAGGTTACAAAACTTGATCCTGTTAATTGGATATGTTAGATGTCAGTTTTCATTTTACAAAAACCCTTTTCACTTAATGAAAGGATTTATCATGTTTCTTCTCCATAATGATCACTTAAGGCATATTAAATATTTGACTTACAGCTCATCAAGAAGTTATTGTTCCATAAAACAATCCATACTAGTATTCCAAATGGGAATACTACTGCCAATGAGGCCAGGCTATGATGTGATAAAGCTTAAAAGGTCCAACTCCAAAGAAAATATCTTAAGTTTCTCAAAACTAGCTAGGGATTGTTCTGACTTAAAAAAAATACGACAGGTCCATAAGGATTCTTGCTCTTTCTTGGGCTTCCACTATATCGTCAGAAGCTCCTAAGGAGACCAAGTGAGGGAAGATTAACTGCATACTTTTGTAAAGCACAGTGAAATCATTTAACTGCTACCTAGAACAGAGAGTACAAACTGATATACTATGGGCCAAAAAATTGGTTTTGTTGGATCACACAATGTTTCAAAAATGAATACTAATATTTTAAAATTAAAAGACTTCGTATCCAGTCTTTCAGCTTCACTTGAAAACTCCGAAGCTCTCATATCCCTGGGCATACATTCCAGCAAAAACAGCGGTAATCTTATAGAACAAAATAGTTGTTGCCCTTTTAAAGCAAGGCATGTTTTCTCTGGTCTATGTTTTGATTTTGTCTAATATCCAGCCCTCTTCTTAAAAAAATTCAGTATTTTCCTGGGACCTGAGGCCTTTGAGTTTGCAATCCCTGGAAAGTAAATAATACTTGAAAAGAAAAAAACGCATTTAGGTAATCCAGGGCAGATATTAGTCATGACAAAATCACAGATCAAATCTTCTTTTTATCAATCCCTGTTATTTATTGCTCACCTGATTGTGCTTGTCCTCCATGAAGAGAATTTTCATTCAAGAAATAGTTTTGAGCACTTACTATGCTTTATGCACTGGAGATACAGCAGTAAATAAGGCAAGAAAAGTTCCTGTTCTCAAGTATTCTATATTTTAGTGGGGGGAAGAAAACAAGAAGCAAACAAATATGCAATATAATATCCAATAGTAATAGACAAAACAAAAAGAAGTGGAGACAGGTTGGAAGAAAAATAAAATGAAAGGTAATATCATTTTATATAGGATGGCCAGAAAATACCTATCAAGAAGATAACATTTAAGTAGAAATCTGTATGAAGGGAAGGAGGGAGTCATGGAGACAGCTGGAGGCAAGAGTGTTACAGACAGATGAAATAGCAAGTGCAAAGGACCTGATGCAGGACTGTGTTTGGTGAACATGAGAAACAGAAAGGAGGTTAGTGTGTATAATGTATGAGGAAAATTGTGGTAGAAAATCAGATCAGACGTAAGAACAGATTGTGTAGTGCCTTATAGGACATGGTAAAGATTTGGGATTTCATTCTTGGTGGAACAGGGAAAGAACAGTAAATGGAGGGTTCTGATCAGGGGGATAACATGACCTTGCTTACATATTTAAATGATCCTTCTGACTGTTGTGATAAGAATAGACTGTGAGAGGAAAAGGATGGAAGCAGGGAGACCAGTTAGGCTGTTACCATGATCTGGGTAATTGGTGCTGGTGGCTCAGAAGAGGATGTGGGTAGTGAAGGTGAGAAAAGTGTTCAGAGTCTGAATAGGCTTTGAAAGTTAAGCCATGGGATTTGCTGGTGGAGTAGATATAGGATGTGAGTAGAGAAAAGAAAAAGTGAAGAATGACTCCAAGGATTTTGGCATGAGCAACTAGAACAATGGTGATGGAGATGGAGAAGGAGACTGGAGGATCAGGTTCGTAGGCAGGAGAAATTAGGAATCCTGTTTGGGACAAGCTAAATTTGATACGCCTACTAGATCTGTAAGAAGAGTTGTTTAGTAGGCAATTGAGTATACAGGTGGGAAGTCCAGGCGAGACATAAATTTGGGAGTTGTTAGCATATAAGTGGTAAGCAAAACCATGAGATGGAGATAGAATGAAATCACCTACTGAATGAGTGAGAAAAGGGGACCTGAACCCTGGGGAACTCCAATATTTAAATATTTGGAAGATGAGAATTAACATTGTCAGTTATCATGATTTAGACCAGTTTCCTTGTAGAAGCCATGTGAGGTAGCAGAGTATTATAGTGTGTCTTAGTTTGTAGTGTCAAATTCTTAGAAACTTTTAGGTGCTGCCCTGTGTTGCTTTACTTATTAAAGACAAATGGATTTATTTTAAAACTCAAATGAGGTTATTTCTGTCCACAAAGGCCGATTGATAAAACACCCCCCATTGTTTTTCCTCATAGCAGGTTTTTAATTATAACACTATATATCTTTTGCGGAATTTAAAAAAATGTTTAAAGTTGATCTTTCTTTGCATTCTCACTCCTCCAAAAGGTATAAGCTCCAAGAAGACCTAGGTAGGTCTATCTTATTCAGCATTCGATTCCCCAGCACCTATCATAGTGCTGGCTGTAGCTAAGTCTTCAATAATAAAAGAAAAAATTAACCACTTATTTGACCAGAATGGGTTCTAAGTGCTTATTACTAGCTAGACACTGCTCAGGTTGATATTTCTGAGGATACAGAGCTATAACAGCAGGCTCTGATTAGAGGATCTCTAAGCCCGAAATAAGACTAAGATGAACAGAAACAAAGTGATCCTTGCCACAAGGTGTTTGGGCATGATCAATACCTGCCCTTCATGTGGTTCCTAAGTGGTTACCTAGGATAAATTATCCAAGTTCAGTATAATAATAAAGACTGGTTATGGCATATTTCATACCCATTATATCATTATTATTTGAACCTCAAAGTGACTCTGCAAGGTAGATACTATTAATCCTATTTCAAAGATAAGAAAACTAAGGTTTAGGGAGTCTAATAAGACAAGTCAGTCCTACTGAACCAGGATCTCCTGAATCTGGATCTTCTGACTTTACTTTCTCTATTAGACTCCTTTACACTTAAATACGCCTTTATTTTAAGACAGAATCAAGTCTAATGGAGTACGAAGTGGTGCTAGAGATATAAATGCATTATTTTCAGAATAATGATTCCTCTCTGCTTCTTCAAGAGCTGCTGGTCATTGTCAAGTATTAGGGCTGGCTGGAAAATATAAATTCCATCCTGGCCAGGAAGTACAACTAAGTGACCTTGCTGATTGAATCTGTTCTATTATTGCTCTAAAACCTAGGCAACAAGGACACTGATTGAGAACATTTGTTCTGCTACATTTGCAAAGCCTTTGCCAGATGTACATATACAGAAAGTATTTAGCCTTTTGCAGCAACCAAAAGTCATAGCAAGGTAAGAGCCAGTTCGGAAGCTACTCTAGCTGCTGAGATTGCTTGTTGTTTGTATATCTGTTTTTATCTCCTTTATATGTAAATTTAGAGTTTCTTTTCTTTGTTCATTATATACAATTTCCACCCTATCTGGAACCAAGTTGAGAAAGGGATCTCCATAAATGCCAAAATATTTAGAAATATATGCACCTGATAAAGACCTCTTAATACCAGGTCATATCATAAAATATAGTTTATAATTTCTATGATAATTGTAAGAATATTATATGGGATTATTAATTTTTTATTTTTTAATCAGGGAATAAAAAAGCAACTGTGTTTCTCATCCAAAAAAAATCTCTTGCATTTCATTTAAGCAATATAAGATATAAGAAGGCAAAATATGGAGAAAATATTGAATGTCAAATATATATCAAATTTTATGTAACACTAATAACTAAGGTACACTTTATATCACTGAATTTAACATATAACAATACTTCATTTCATTTATCCACTTCCTAATGATATTGAAGATCATAGGTATTTTATGCTAATATCACAGCAAGAGAAATATCTTTCCTTAAGAAGACAAAATGGTTAATAGAAGTTTATACTACATGATAAAATAAAGCCAAGAAATACCTCTAACTTCAATAATTGTTGATAGCTAAGCAAACCATAGTTATAGTTATAAAAATAAATACCCTTTTTACGCAGCAGAACACTGGCATGTTTCCGTCCATTTCGGTTTTCAACATGGCAGGTATAATTCGCCAGGTCAGCTTCCACAACTGAGTCAAAGATGAGTGCCAACTCAACTTCTTTTTCTCCAAGATGCTCTTTGAGAAGCCTGAAATAAAGAAAGTATTCTTGGCTGAATTAGCTTGATTTGGGCAGAAAGCAGCCATGCAAAGACTACAGATGGTCACACAGCTCACACAGGTCTCTGATGATGGGCGTGGAGAATCCTGACTGGGTGTATATGTGGGTGGGACCTTCAACAAGAAAACACAAAAAGTGGCTCTTGACATGAAGATAAGATGGAAAAGAAAAGAAGTGAATAATTCACTTGGCAAAAAGAAATATTAACATGCCACTAGGCTTTGATAAATAAAGTCAACATGGCTTGTATGGTGAAAAGGAGGAAACACTAGGTTCCATGCTCTAAACTAAGATCATGAAAACTAATTGGATTTTTGCATCATGGCATGAAGGGAAAAAATTTTTAGAAGTATAGACTTTGTGGTAGAGGTTAGAGTTTTGATAGTAGTGAGGTAAAGATGTAAAGAAGGGGGCCTTGAATGTGGTTGCCTTATGAGAAGTAAACTGAAAATTTTTAGTGGCCTTCTATCTCCATACATTAGTGATAAGCCTACTCTCTGCTTTTCTCCTGGCTTTTGTCCAACGCAGTAATGTGCTCTGAGCCCTAATCCCCCAATAATGCTAACACGCCCATGACCCTGATCTCTCCAGACACTGCTCCCCATCTGTCCCTCTGCTTTCTGCCCTCACAGGAGAAGCCCTCTGTAACATTTTCTCCTAGCCTTGCTTTTTTTAAAAGCTGCAAAGGACCTTGTATGGCCAGGAACAGATGTTCTTTGCAGAGGGGCTGAATTGCTAGGGTTATTTCCTGAAGAGTGCGTCTCCTGCTTCTTTGGAGAGTTATATTCTCAACAACGACCAGCTACCTTCTGGGTGAGATGAAAGTGGGCACCCTGTCAACTTTTCTCTTCTTTCTCTTGCTTTTGGCCAAAGAAGGAGCGAATTATGAGTCTACATGGTGACAACCCTACAGTTTAGTTCTGGAGTAGGTTCTTAAATACATATATGTTTCAATCATGAAATATTTTAGATGGAAAATTGGAGAAGCAGAAGTAATTCTCGCCTTCTTTTTGGACACCTGGTTATAAATGCAGGGAATATCTCTATGACTTACTGGCACTCAGCATAAAATTGGAAACATGACTGCTCAGACCAAACTGGGCTCTAAGTACAGGACTCCCAATTACAAGCTCAGGCTTGGTCTTTACAAAATCATTAACTCAATGGTGCCTTAATTTAACTCATCTTGAAACTGGTAAAATAACTACCATACATACTTTAACTTTGTTGTAAGGGTAAAATGGGTTAAAGTGATTTGAAAAGTAAATAGTACTATGCACATGCAAATGTATGTTACTAAACACAAACATTTCATTATCTGAAGGTAGATTGTATTTTAGCTACTCCAAAAATATTTGTATTTACATTTACTGACATTTAAGATTGACTTGACTTAACCTCTTCTTCTTTCCATTTGAGAGCAGGAAGGGCTTAAAGTTGGGTTGGTGGAATGGAATTTCTAAAATCTGAGTCTCTTGTACTAAAATCTCAAGTCCTTTACATTTATGTACCATCGTAGAACCAGACGAGTATAAGAATTTTCTTAACTGCATATGGGAGAACACATCTTATGGTTAGTTTTTCTATAAATTGTTTTTATTTTTCCTGACTGAAGTTGTAGTTTCTCTTTTTGTCTTCTCTCCCAACATGTACCTAACCAAGACAAAATTGGACATTTACTACTTTCATGGTTTATATTGACTTTTGTTCTCTGTTTTTCTCCCTGATGTTGGTAAATGACACCACACTCAATTATTTTAGCTCTGTGTAACCTGCTGTGGAAGAACCCCCTGTAGTTCCAGAAGCTGCGTAGGCACCACAACTTCAGTTTAATTTGAAGCCTCACATGGAGGGCAGCCATAGCCTCTGCCAGGCACAGGGTGGAAAGCTGATCCTGTTCTTCCCGACCAAGCCTTTCCTTCTTCTAATGCAGTTTCCAAAAACAGCTCTTCACAGGCTGCAGAAAGAATCTGGAGAGAGGATTTGAAAAATGATCCTTGGTTCATCTATTAATATATATGAGGTGTCTTAATTATCAGCTCCTGAAAAACCTAGGTGACTTGTGTTTTTTGGAATTAAAGATCAAAATGGTGTTTATGACTACAAATCACTCAACGGAGCAGTCATAATTTTCTAGCAAATATATTATTTTTAATTTTAATTTTAGGTTCAGGGGTACATGTGCAGGTTTGTTTTATAAATTGCCTGTCACAGGGGTTTGGTGTACAGATTATTTTATTACCTAGGTAATAAGCATAGTACCCTCCTGCGACCCTCCAAGACTTTCAAGTAGGCCCTGGTGTCTGTTGTTTCCTTCTTTGTCTTCAAATATACTCAACATTTAGCTCCCACTTATAAGTGAGAACATGTGGTATTTGGTCTTTTGTTCCTGTGTTAGTTCGCTTAGGATAATGGCTTACGGCTCCATCCATGTTGCTTCAAAGAACATGATCTCATTCTTTTTTATCACTGTGTACTATTCCATGGTGTATGTGTATCACATTTTCTTTATCCAGTCTACTGCTGATGGGCATTTAAGTTGATTCCATGTCTTTGCTCTTGTGAATATTGCTGTGGTGAACATACCCATGCATGCATCTTTATGGTAGAACAATTTATATTCCCTTGGGTATATACCCAATAATGAGATTGCTGAGTTGAATGATAATCCTCTTTTAAGTTGTTTGAGAAATCGTCAAACTGCTTTCCACAATGACTGAACTAATTTACATTCCCACCAGCAGTGTAGAAGCACTCTTCTTTCTCTGCAACCTCACCAACATCTGCTATTTTTTGACTTTTTAATAGTGGCCATTCTGACTGGTGTGAGATGGTATCTTGTTGTGGTTTTGATGATCATTTCTCTAACAATTAGTGATGTTGAGCATTTTTACATATGTTTGTTTGGCTGCATGTATGTCTTCTTTTGAAAAGTGTTCATGTTCTTTGCCCACATTTTTATGGAGTTTTTTTTTAAATTTTTTTTAAGTTCCTTATGGATTCTGGATATTAGTCTTTTGTCAGATACATAGTTTGCAAATATTTTCTCCCATTCTGTTTGTTGTCTGTTTACTCTGTTGATAGTTTTTATTTTTATTTATTTATTTATTGCTGTGAAGAAGCTCCTTTGTTGAATTAGTCCAATTTTTCGAATTTTGTTTTTGTTGCAATTGCTTTTGGCATCTTTGTCATGACATACTTGCCAGATTCTATGTCCGTATTGGTATTTCCTAGGTTATCTTTCAGGATTTTTATAGTTTTTGGTTTTACACTTAAGTATTTAATTCATCTTGAGTTGATCTTTGTATATGGTGTAAGGAGTCCAGTTTCAATCTTCTGTGTATGGCTACCCAGTAATCCTAGCACCACTTGTTTAATAGGGAGTCCTTTCCTCATTGCTTGTTTTTGTCAACTTTGTCAAAGATCAGATGGTTGTCGATTGGTGGCATTGCTTATGTTCCATTGGTCTATGTGTCTGTTTTCGTACCAGTACCATGCTATTTTGGCTACTATATTCTTGTAGTATAGTTTGAAGTCAGGTAATGTGATGTCTCAGGCTTTGTCTTTTTTGCTTAGAATTGCCTTGGATATTCGGGCTCTTTTTTGATTCCATATATATTTTTAAATAGTTTTTTTCTAATTCTGTGAAGAATATAACAATCCATCAATGATTCTTTTCCAGTCTTTAATAAGTGCCTGGCTCTGGGCTGTATATTTGGCATACAAGAAATAGGAACATTAAAAGATGTGGTCCTTTCTTCCATTAAACTTTAAAATTTAAATGAGGAGACACAATGTACACAGTTGCAGAAAATTATACAAAGAATAAGGCAAAGCAGGGTGGTACACTCACGCTTATGACAGTATGTCATAGAATGGAGATACTACTGTTGACTAAGTTATCTAAAAAATGCCTAAGAAAATTCTCACTAAATGAAAAGAAGGGAGGGTTTTCCAGAATAGAAGACAAGAGTAGGTTTTTGCAGAATGTGTGAAAGAGAGGTATTAAAGAGACTGGTTTCAGAGTAGAGGTTATAAGTGAGGGAATCCTGGGATATATTTCAAATGACCTTAGAAGTATCTCATTCCAAGTATTGATATTATATGGGAGGGTAAGAACCACATGCATTTTAAATTGATTATTGAAACATAATAGATGTACAAAAAAACTCACCTATTTAATGTATACAATTTGATGAGTTTGTATATATGCATGCATCCATGGCAGGTGAGGGAGGGGTAGTAACCAGAGGGGTCTAAATATTAACATTAAAGGCAAGTTATAGTAGCAGTGAACATTGGTACAATAAAAAGTAACCAGTTCAGGTGATAGACATCACTATATTCCAAAATTTTATTTAGATTGGTACTATTATTACAAATTAATACAATGAAGAGTTTGGAAATTGTCCCTCTCATTCTCACAAAAAGAAAAAAGGTGAACAAACTGAAAATTATCAACTTTTCTTAAATCCCTCAGGTAACAAGTCACAGGGCAAACTTCTGCCCCAGAAAGTTGAGAGAAAGGCAAATACAGAGAATCACAGTATACTGGAATGAGATCCCCAGGAGCAAGGCCGGTACCAGCACAAACACTTAAAATGTAATAGATAAATTCCTGGAGACCCACCATGAACTATCTTGAGAGTTAAAAACAGCATGAGACCTATATTTAGGGGGACCCCACAATTTTGTGAGTTTTGCCTACATAAGCGCCACTAAGTTCTTACTGTGAAGATTGGAAAAAAGATTCCCTTATGCTTCTGGCAGGGGGAAAGGGAAAACTGACCATTTTAAAATGAGTCCAGAGCACTTTGTTCTCCTTTTAAAAGTGCTTGTTGATTGAGTATAGTGGTTCATGCCTATAATTCTAGGCCTTAGGAGGCCAAGGCTAGAGGATAACTTGAGGCCAGGAGTTCAAGACCAGCCTGGGAAACATAGCAAGACCCCATATCTACAAATAATAAT